ATTTTTTTAATTTTGAGTTCTTTTCCTTGAATCATACTGGTTTTTCTGGACCAGTTTTTCATTTATTCCTGCTTTTTTTTTTTAATAGGTTGAAACCTCAGTCAGTGGTGGTGTTTGCATTAATACCCATTTTCAGAGCATTCTTTGTTGTTGTTTTAATATTTTTTTAGTTGTTGAAGGACCTTTATTTTTATTTATTTATATATGGTGCTGAGAATTGAACCCAGTGCCTCACACATGCCCTACCACAGAGCCACAACTCTAGCCCCTTATTTTGGCTTTTTTTTTTTTTTTTAATATTTATTTTTTAGTTGTAGTTGGACACAATACCTTTATTTATTTATTTATTTTATGTGGTGCTGAGGATTGAACTCAGGGCCTTGCATATGCTAGGCTAGTGCTCTACCGCTGAGCCACAACCCCAGTCCCATTATTTTGGCTTTTTAATAAGCATTTTCTGTAGAACAAGACAGCACGTAGTTTAGGTTTTTTTATTTTATTTTTAATTTTTATTTTATTTTATTTTTTAATATTTATTTTTTTTAGGCGTAGTTGGACACAACACAATACCTTTATTTTTATGTGGTGCTGAGGATCGAACCCGGGTCCCACCCGTGCTAGGCAAGCGCTCTACTGCTGAGCCACAGTCCCAGCCCCTATTTTAGGTTTTTTTAAAAGTTGAGAAGTAAAATTGAGGATATTGTATAGCTACTTAGGTAATTCAAAGAGAAAACATTTTATTGGTAAAATTCGACATAATAGTAATTGAGTTTTTGTAATACAGGTCTTCTAATAAGAATTATGGGATTCTTTGTAGGAAAATTGTTTGCTTAATTGGGGTTCAAAATTACTGTTACCTATCATCAAAATTGATTGTAAAGATTCATATGTTTTACTGATGTTTTCTGGAATTGTATCTGTGTCAATTCTGAAGGTCTTTTGATTATAGATAGGTACTGCTAAATACTGGTGTCAGTTCACCTTCATGTGTTTTTTTGTTTGTTTTTAACCCATGGGCACTTAACCATTGAGCCACATCCACAGCCCTTTTTAAATTTACTTAGAGACAGGGTCTCACTGAGTTGCTTAGCATCTTGCTTTTGTTGAGGCTGGCTTTGAACTTAGCCATCCTCCTGCCTTAGCTTCCCCAGCCACTGGGATTACAAGCGTGTTTTTTGTTTGTTTGTTTGTTTGTTGTTTGTTTTTAGTTATAACTGGACACAATATCTTTATTTTATTTATTTGTTTTTGTGTGGTGCTGAGGATTGAACTCAGGGCCTCGAACATGCTAGACAAGCACTCTACCGCTGAGCCCCACCCTGGCCCCATTAGTGAGTTGTTTTGATTGAGTATATTCATTGCCTGGCAGGCATTTGTGGAACTTTATAGATTCTTCCTTGGTCTTGGTAGAAGTGCCTCTCTGGCACAGTTAGATGGATTTTGAAGGGCACTCTCCTTTGTCCTTGTGTTGGGTATATACAAGTACTGCTGGGACTGCAGTTGGAGTTGTGGCAGTGGAGGGCTTGCTCCTGCTTTCACTTTGGACAGCAGCACCGCTGACGTCTGCCAGCTTGTCAAGAGCCAAGACACCACTGAAATCATTTGCCTTATTTTAAAATTACACAGTGAAGTTTCTCCCAATTTGTTCATGTGTTTGAGCAGCTGTTCTTATCCAAAGGCCAACTCTCTTGAAAACTTCAATTTTCAGAACACATTTCTTCATTTGCTGCAATCAGTGTGACTCAGTTAACTTGCCACCCACTTTCTTTGGCTAGCAAGTGAACCACTAGAAACTTACTTTGGTTATAACCTTGCTTTTGTTTTTTTGTTTCTTTGAAAAAAGAAATCTGTGTTGAAATAACCTGTTTTCAATTTTCTGATTTTCCTGACAATTGCTCTCTTGTGGTGGTAGTATTGTGGTGAATACACAGGATTTTAGTGTCAGCATGTACTATGTTATTTGGCACCACTGTATTATCATTGCATAATAACCGTGACACTTTGCCATCTACTTCAACAGTAAAATGATCCGTACTTCACTGTGGAGGGCTGGGTACCCACATGAGAAGCCTTAACTTTCAGCAGATGATATATTTAATTTCTTTGGGTAAACCCCACCCCCAGCTGAAAAGTTCCTGGTTGGTTGTGTTCTGGTGAATGGTGAGAATTTGCATAATAGCTTTGTCTTTTCTTGGTAGAATTTTAGTTCATTCTCATTTGTAGCTCAGTCTCTCACTTTCCATTCTAAGGCCAGCCCTAAGAACATAACTTCCTGTCAAAACTTTTTCAAACTCTCTGAATTACTTCTCACCCTGTGCACACACAGTTATCCACACAGTCATTTGTACTCAGTTTTATTTCTTTGGAGGAAGCCTTATTCATTCAATAGACCATAGTGATCAAAAACAAAAAATAACCCTTTCACTTGAGAAAAAAATTTATTTAATTTAGACTACTTTACAAAAGGAGAGAAGGGTAATATCCTGTTTTTATACTTCTTTTTTTCAGTGCCAAGAATTGAACCCAGGGCCTTGCACAAGAGCAAGTGCTCTACAACTGAGTTATGTCCCCAGCCCTTTATAAAATTTTATTTCAAGACAGAGTCACAATGTTTCCCATGCTGGCTTTGAACTTATGATCCTCCTACCTTAGCCACCCAAGTCCCTGGGATTTTAGGTGCGTGCCACTGTGCCCTGCGTCATGTTTGTGTACTTTGTAAATTACACACAGAACAACAAACTGAAGCTAAGTTTATAACAAGCTAAGTGAAGAAAAGTCATCGGTCATTTGAATCTTATATATTTCAGTGCCCTCTGGAAAGAATCATTAGCAATATTCATCTCTAATAAAATAACATAATTGATGGTCCTGGCTTTATTAATGTTGCCAAATCATCATTCAGTACAAACCAGGCATGCTTTTGCTGTGGCGAAAGGAGTCTGCTCTGGCATTTAGACCTGTGTGTTTGTGTAAGTGGGGGCACATAATCATTCATGTGGATTGTTGTGATATTTTGAATCAGATACACTGGAGGAAGTCTCAGTAACTAAACTTCATGGAGATTACTGCATAGTGGATAATATTTGGTTTCCTCTATACTTGATAAAGGCCAAAATCAAGGTAAACATAATAATCTATCACAAGGTTGGCCAGCATTTCCATGAAATACCAGTTAGTGAATCTTTTCAACCTTGTGGGCCATGTTGCCTCTGTCACCACCAAGACAATACAAAGTGCATAGGTGTACAGTATTCCAGTAAAACTTTATTTACACCATGTATGATAGCACATGCCTGTGAACCCAGTGACTCAGGAGGCTGAAGCAGGAAGATCAAAAGCCAGCCTGGGCAACTTAGCGAGATCCTGTCTCAAAATAAAAAGATAGGGGGAGCTGGATATGTTACTCAGTGACAGAGCACTTGCCTAACGTGCAAACCTCAAAAAGCAAACACACACACAAGCAAAAATCCACTTCATTTACAAAAACAAATGGCCAGACTCAAGTTTGCCAACCCTTAATTTGTCAATCCACAAGTTAAATTTATCCTGTGGTAAAGGTACTCTTCCGTGAAGACTTGAGTCAAGGAATGTAGTAACCTGAAAGCGGTAGATGAGTTGGAGTTTTGTCTAGTGCAATGAAGATAAAATGTACATTGAAGTCATTGTCAGATTAACAAACTTCTTTAGCCCAAGAATTTTTTAAGCAGGCAGCAAGTTCATTTCTAGGTTTACAATCAGTCCTCTGGTGTATGATTCCTATCCTTGAAGTTAACCATCAAAAGTAAACCATTAAGTTATTCTTGATTTTGTTTGTTTGTTTTGTTGCCTTAGTTATCACGTGAAGGTAAATAAAAAGACCAAGGTCCCCAAAGTATGCGCTGTGTGTGTGTGTGTGTGTGTGTGTGTGTGTGTGAGAGAGAGAGAGAGAGAATGTGTGTGTGATGCTGGAGTAGAACCCAGGACCTCACACACACTCTGAAAATGCTCTACTACTGAGCTACATCCCCAGCCCCTCCACAGCACGCTTTGGAGCAGAATCTTTGGCCACTGTAATGGCGGGCATGTCATCTCCTGACATCAGAATAGCAACCCTTTTGTACTTGGTCATTTAAAAAAAAAAAAAACAAAAAAAAAAAACTTTTCATTTAAAATGTACTGTACATTGTACACATTAATTATATAACAATATACTATGTCACCACCTAAATAACCAGTACTTGGGTTTTTTTTTTTTTTTTTTTTTTTTTTGCAGAAATTCTATGAGGTTATCTATTATGATCACTCTGGGCTCCCCATCGCTGGGTTTCTGTTCCATTGGGTGCTTGGGTTTTCTGCTGTTGCCTTGGGACATGACTAGTAACAGGGTAGAGAACTGGTCCTAAAGGTAAAATAGGGCTGGCAGAGTGTACAAATCCCTGGGATTTGACCCCCTGCACCACAAAGCTGGTGAACAAGTGAATGAATGCTGAGTCTTACAGAGAACAGGGCAAGTCTTTCTTCTTGTGGTATTTGCTGACACCACTGCTGTGAATTCCAGGAGAAGGACTTGCTTTGGTAGCTGTGATGTATCTTAAGTCAAACTGGGATATTACAGTTTTAGGGATGCTTTTTGGAATACTAAATTCCTGAACTGGGACATTTAAACTTAAGCATCACTGCAGAGAAAGAAATGCACTGTGAGAATTGTAATCCTATAACCCCCTCTTATCCAGTAATTAAGATAGGGGGTTTAGATTTTAATTCAGTAAAAGCATACAGTGTAGAAATTTTGAATCTTCTCTCAAATTATCTTTAAGGATGGTTATGTCAGGCTGGTTTTGTTTTTTAATTCTGAAAAATTTCAAGTATGTAAAAGTGGTGAACATAGTATTTGAACCCCATCTGCCCATCACGGAGTATCAACAATGATCCATTCATGACCAGTCTTATTTCTTCTGTGTTACCAAGTTGTTTTTAGCCTTGCTCAGTTTTTAAAATTGGAATTTTAATTTTTTACTTAGTTTAGGCATTCTGGAAACTCCACAGCATCACCAAAGGTTTTGCTCCGCAGAAAATCAAGAAGTAAAGACTATGATTCCTACAGTGATAATGATGTGTGCAGCCTGGAAACAGAGGACAATTTTGCCAAAGAGCTTCAGCAGTACATAAAAGCTAAAGAGATGGCAAATGCTGCTCAGCCCCTACCATTTTCTGAAGAATCTACAAAGAAAGAAGGAGCAAAAGATAGCCGGCAGGGTAAGCACCAAGCTATTATACCTCTTAAAAGTCTGACAGAGAAGCAGTCACAGTTGCCCATATATTGGCACTGGGGTTCTGCACTTACCTCATGTTAGGGTTATGGTTTTCATGGATCTTTTCATAGGTCTTGCATGGTCTCAGACCCCACCTGCGATCTGGCCAGGCCGTGCGCGAATGCTCACTGTTCACATGAGGAGCTGGGGGATTGCAGGCACGCTTTTGTCAAAGGTTCTGTTGGTATCTAAAGGGAGAAGGCTAACACCCTGGCTTTTGCACGTGTGGAGACAGGAAGTGCCTGTTTGCATTGCTGTCACTTAAAAAGTGGTGGCTGGAATGGCTGTATGTCAGACTACATGCAGAAATGTATTCTTTCACACTATTAAAATGGGTTTTAACATAGATAGGAGGGCAAATGACAATTATAAATGAAGTTCTTAATGCTTTCCTTTTACTATATTTTTTCCTGCAAGTGTTTCTTCTATTCAAAACACATTTGTAGACTAATTTATAAAAAAATACTTTAAGTGAAAAATCTGTGTTAAGTGAGGTCATGTGAAACATTTGAATTTTTTTTTTCTGTGGCAGTGCTGTGGCAATTCCTAATTAGATCATCATACCCTGAACACTTCCAAAGGATCTGGCTTGTAGCTTACAAGACTGATTTCATCAGTTGTCTTGCTTTTTCCCCTCCTAATAATATTTCAGGGCAGAGGCCTTCTGTGACATCAAGGCAGCACAAAGGGCCTCCCCCTTCAAACCCCACTTCTTGTAATTACGTCAGATTTCAAATATGTCACTCAGAGTAATAGTCATGAGTTTATTAACAGTGACTAGAAGAAGGAAAGGGGGACATTCTTAAAAGAGAGAGTGGATCCTCTCAGGAGAAGGATAGTATTCTCCTCCTGCTCTCCGGTTTTGTTTTATTCCAGAAAGTCCTGCCCAGGTCCACCTTGACTTTTGATTGACAGCAGAATGACCTCAGACTTTCAAGTCACCATTGCCATGACCTACAACTGTAGGTCACTTTTGTCCCATGCTAACGGGTTCTAATTCAAACCTGTTTTTACAGATTATGGTTAGAGGGAATTATCTTCCTGAGTTCTGGGATCTCATCTGTATAAGGGTCACAAAAGTGTGTGTGTGTTTGCATGTGTTTCCCATGGCTTCAGGGTAACTTTTTTTCTTTTTGTCTGCATTTTGAGCCTGCATAACCCCTGCAGATAGCAGGTAGTTTACTGAAGAATGTAACATATCCTGTTGACTTAAGCCAGGCAGGGCTGCAGGTAAATTGCTTTTTAAAAGAAGATGCATGTGGATCAGTGCTTAAGTCGTTTTAAAAATAAACTTTCTTGTTTTTAGCTACTAAACCAAAAAATAAAAACCTTAAAGCTGGTCACAAGCATGGTAAACAGAAGAAAATGAAACGAAAGTGGCCTGGGCCTGGAAACAAAGGACCAAATGCCTTACCGAGGAATAGTGGCTCACAGAAAGAGGTATGAGCACATATGCTCATAGGGTACCCGCATGCTTGCAGGATTTCATCTCAAACCTCAGTGACAGGAATTGCCATTGATGTTGTCAGGTGGGAGCGCTCCTCAGAGTCAGTTATCCAGAGGTGAGGTCCCCGCCATCAGTGGGCTCTCTGTGGTCCTCTGGCTCACCTTTGAGCATCCTTCCTTCTCACACTGGCTGCCAGCACCCATTTTAAGCCTTCGCATTCCCTGTTGTCCCTGAATACATGAGCACGTGGCTTTTGATTTTTGAATGTTGCCAAAAGAAGATAAAATAGCCCTGAAGACATTTCAAAGGCCACAGAAGGCACAAAGTTTACTTTATTGCAGTCCCTCACCTATGGGTTTCTAACAGGTGCTATTTCTGAACATTGTCTTACCAAGTCTCCCACCCCCTGTCATCCTGATATGTTGATTTTTGCTTTGTAGAGGTTCTCTTCCTTGGTCTGCAGATGTATTTAGGGTAGAACAATCAGTGATTCCTCTGAATTCTGCTTTTCTGAGGGCTTTAAAACTGGTTAGCAATTTTTTTTATAGACTTGGTCACAGCCTCCTGTGTGGGGGACTAAAATATTAGAAGTACCAGATATTAGTTGGATGCAGTAGTGTGTACCTTGTACCAGCTACCTGGGAGACTGAGGCAGGTCACTTGAGCCCAGTAGTTTGAAACCAGCCTGGGCAGTGTAGCCAGACCCCTTCTCAAACAAAGAAAGCAAGTTTTGTAAATTGAAACACATTTATATGAAATTTATCCCTGCTTCCATATTTTACAAATGAGAAATCTGAAGCTCAATGGTTCAGTAACTGCCCATAGTCAGCTAGGACCACACCAGGGCTGGCTGGTTTCCTCATTCTATTCCATGCTCACAACTGTTTGGTTACATTGACTCACATGATGGTGCAGCTGGATCTGACAGCCCTTGCACACTATGAGCTTGGTTATGTTTATTAACTTCAGCTGGTTTGTATCCTCAGCTCACACCTGTGAACATTTCATGAAAACGATTGATTTCACTGCTTTTGTCCATTCTATGATTTCCCAAATTTGTCTCCATTATTCTAGAGATCTTTGGCCCTAGGATTCACTTTTTATCACAAGTAAAGTTGCTTTCATGTTTACTTTTTTCATTCATTTTTACAAAAGAAGGGGAAGGTATAATAAAATATTTAAATTACACAAATACTAATATTCAGTGATGGAATGCTGTTGAAATTTAAAAAAAATTGTAAACTGGTATACAAAAGTCTAAATCTTAACATGTGAAGGCCATTTTAGGAGACTTGGGCTGGGCACAGTTAGTGCACACCTGTAATCCCAGCTGCTTGGGAGACTGAAATAGGAGAACCACAAGTTTCAGGCCTGCCTGGACAACTTAGCAAGACCCTATCTCAAAATAAAATAAAATATAGGCTTGGGGTGTAGTTCAGTGATAGGGTGCCCCTGGGTTCAAGTCTTAGAAACACACACACACACACACACACACACAAAGAGGAAGAACAGACACATTAATATTTTAAAGGTAGATTAATTTTGTGAACAGAATAAAATATTTTTATTTTTCTCACATTTGATGTTTTGTTTTTGTTTTTAAAGGAAGATAAACCTAAAGAGAAGCAGCAGCATGTAAGAATGAGTCAGGGATTCATCAACCAACATACAGTGGAACGCCAGGGAAAACAAATCTGCAAATATTTTCTTGAAAGGAAATGTATTAAGGTATAAAAATATGCGAGCAAAAATATACTAAAATGGCTGGGTGTGATGGTGTACAACTGTAATCATGGCAGTTTGGGAGGCTGAAGCAGGAGGATTGCAAGTTCAAAACCAGCCTCAGCAACTCAGACCCTGTCTCAAAAATAATAATAATAATAATAGGGCTGGGGATGTGGCTCAGTGGTTAAACACCCCTGGGTTCAGTCTCTAGGACAGGAAAAAAAAATTGTGTGTGTGTGTGTGTGTGTGTGTATGTATACATACGTATATACATGTACACACACTAAAATGTAAGGTGATAATAAAAATGTACTCATTCTAAATGAAACATTGCTGTTTTCGTTTGACACTCTCATCATATTTGTAGGATTTGATAACTGCTTCCTCCTGGAGAAAGTTCTGTTAGAAAATTTTAGTGAAGTATTCTTTTATGTTTAAAAAATAGAAAAATTTTAAAATATACTTTGTTTTTATAATGTTTAAGGCTTATGAAAATTTTAAGCAGATACATATCATGAGCTTATGAAGCAACATGTTAAGAATTAGACCATATTCTAAGACCTTAAAATCTTTCTATAATTGTTTGCTTATTTAAAGTTTAGTTGGAATTAAATTGTAGTTACTTAAGTAAGAGAAATAATAACTTGTCTCTGTTTTTGTTTTATTTTGTTTGTTTTTTGGCCCAGGGAGACCAGTGTAAATTTAATCATGATGCAGAGATAGAGAAGAAGAAAGAAATGTGTAAGTTTTATGTACAGGGTTATTGTACCAGAGGAGAAAACTGTCTATATTTGCATAATATCCTTTATCACGAGATACAATAATTTTACTCTCCATAGGTATTTATATGAATGTTTTAAATATGCAAATTTTTAATGAAGCCAGTGTTGAAGCTATAACATTATACTATATAAGCTCAATTTAGTATCAAAGTGGTTAAGTTGTACATAGATTTCCCCCCCACACACCCCCCGGTAAGAAAGAAAAGAGGGATTGTTTAGAAAATCTCTCAAATGAAGATCCTTTCTGTTCAACCCAGTAGTATAGTGGGTTCATGAGACCTACCCATCTCCCAGAAAGATATCCTCAGATTTTCTGCTGACATTTAACTAACTGGATTTGTACTCATATAGGGTACTTTATTTAGGAAAAAAAGCAGGGATTGCTTAATTTGTTGTGCTTGTTTTCTGTATATGGTGTAGACAACTTGTAAAAATATGGAACTTAAACCCTTGAGAGTGACAGCATCTTTGGTCACCACAAAATTAGTTTTTGTTTATATAAGGCTGGGGGAGGGGTATTTCAGTGGTAGAATGCTTGCCTAGCCTGTGTGAAGCACTGGGTTCGATCCTCAAGACCATATAATAATAAATCAGTAAGATAAAGGTATTGTGTTCATTTACAACTGAAAAGAAATTTAATTAAAAAAAAAAAAAAACAAGGCTAGGAGTCTTCAATTCTAACTTTTCCTAGAAAATAATATTAAAGTTGTAAAAATGTATTTATTTTAGTACCGGGGATTGAACCCAAGGGCACTTCACCACTGAGCTATATTCCCAGTCTTTTTAAAATTTTAAAATAGGGTCTCAGTAAGTTGCTGAGGCTGGCCTCAAACTTGCATCCTCCTTCTTCAACCTCCCAAGTTGCTGGGATTATAGGCCTGTACCTCCAGGCCCATCTAATTTTATATTTTAAATAGAGAATTCAGTATTTCTACTTGCAAGAAAAGTTTTTATGTAGGAAAATTAATAACAAATTATTTAGTTTGATTAAATTTGTTTACTTCCTTAACATTTGGGTTACATGAATATCCTTGCAAGTTTTACCATACAGGAACAAAATGTTATCAGGGAGAACATTGCAAGTTTTCTCATGCTCCACTTACTGCTGAAACACAGGAACTGTTGGCTAAAGTAAGTACAATTTTAATAATTTTTTATTAATATTTATTTTTTAATAAAATTTTCTTAAATAATAATAAGTCTTATAAGTTAGTATATTAGATATATTAGGACTGATAATTATCCAAGAATTTATTTCCATTTGGAAAATTATTTATTAGTGTGTAAGTGTATTTTATATTATTTATTTACTTATTTCTGTTATTGGAGATTGAACTCAAGAGTGCTTTACCATTGAGCTACATCCTCAGTCCTTTTATTTTGTAATAGGGTCTCACTAAATTGCTAAGGGTCTTGCTAAGTTGCTGAGGCTGGCCTTGAACTTGTGATCCTCCTGCCTCAGCCCCCTGAGTTCCTGGGGTTACAAGTATGTGCTCCCATGCCTGGCTTCTTTATTTTTTTCTTGTAGCTAAAAGGAATATTTATATTCATTGCTGACATAAATTGTAATGTTCTGAAAACCTTCAGTGGAGTTAATTTTAATACCTAAAGTAAGGGAAGCAAAGCAATTAAGAGAAGTGGTACTTCTATTATAATGATTTAAGCCAGACTGGATGGTGTACACCTGTAATTCCAATGACTTGGAAGGGTGAGACAGGAGGATCACAAGCTCTAGGCCAGCCTCAGCGAGAGCCTGTCTCAAAAATGTTAAAAAATGATCAGGGGCTGTAGCTCAGTGGTAGAGTACTCCTGGGTTCATTCCCCAGTATTGTATCATATCATGGGATGGGGTGGGAAATAAAACAAAATAAATAAAATGGCATATTTTTGGAAAGTTAATATGCCATGGGTTGATAAAGATTTTAGAGTTATATCAAAGAATACTAGTAGTAATTTCAAAATATTTTTTTCAGTATTCTTTTGGTCTGTGAGAAAAGATTATTGAGAAATTGTAGTCACTTGTGTTCTTTCATTTACCATTTATTAGATGGAGGTGGTCTCTTCAAAATTAAATCGAATATATATACAATAGAAGTTCTCTTGAGCAAAAAAAGAAAAATAAAAAGTTCCCTTGATGTTGTATGTACACATGGTGGAAGGGACTCAAATGAGCTCTTTATGGCTTATTTTATGAGGACACTAATTTGATTCATGAGGGCTTACCTTTGGGTTTAGAATTTCAACATAAATTTTGGGGACTGACAAACATTCAGACCATAACAGAGGTTGTTCCAGATGAAAATAAATTAATGAGACATAATTACCAAATAAAGTAAGTGATTCTTGATAATGACTGATCTAGAAAAAGAAAGCTACAAAGGATAATTGGAGAAATTTCCATATAAATGGTATATTAGCTAATGTTATGATATCAATATTAGATATCTTGGGAAGAATAATGCTATTCTGTTATTGTATAAGAGAATTTCCTCTTCATGGAAGATGCAGGATAAATATTTCGGTGTTGAACTTACTTTTAATTGGTGCTTATTTTTAAACATTTTTGTGTTGTAAAATATGAAAAGTTACTCTGGAATTAGAAATTGTGCTAAAATATGTAGTTATTATTTTTATGAAACGGGAAAATTATAAGTGTAAAATTGATTTTTTCATTTCCTCTTGTAGTAGTTATTAGGTTATTATTAGGATGAATTTTGCTGGAATCATCTAAAAAGTATAAAAATGACGGTGTACCTAATTAGACATTAATATGTATAAAAATTATTATGTAATTTTTTTTTTTCCTATTAGGTTTTGGATAGTGAAAAGAAGTCATGCAAATAAAATAGACATAAAAAGGTAAAAGAATATACTAGTACTTATTGTCTGTCTCTAAAAATATTACAGAATACATATTCACAGATGTGTGGCTCTCCATCTTTCCTTCTCCCCACCTGAGTTTGTCTGTCATGGATGTTTGTGTTCTTCATTTGTCTTTCTGGGATTCACCCGGTATGTGTAATTCACTGAACATAGGTTTAGTTTTGCTTATGGTAACAGTGTCATACTCTATATGTTAATGGGAGATTTGCTATTTTCACTCAACCTTATGCTTCTAAAATCCATTCATGTGGATGCATGCAGCTGTCATTTATTTATTCATTCATTTTAGTCCTGTATAGCATTTTATTTTATGAACATGTTATAATTTATTATACTATTGGTGGAAATTTAGGTTATTATTAGTTTTTTAAGATGTTCAGTGTCATTATAAATATTCACATACAAACTCCACGTATTAATCTCCATGATGTATTCCAAGGAGTAGAATTGTATCGATTTAAGATAGTAAAGTATACCAAGGAAAGCAAAGTAATTTAATATAGTAAAGTATACCAAGGAAAGCAAAGTAATTAAGAGAAGTAGTACTCCTGTTACAAAAAGTTTTAAAGGGAAAATTGAGTCATGGTTGATAAATGTTTTAGAGTTACATCAAATAGTCAAGTAGTAATTTCAGAGTGTTTTCTTCAAGTATTGTTTTGGTCTTTGAGAAAATAGCAGAGCCCTAGTTAATATCCCATAAAGTATATGTACAGAACTCCTTACCAATACTTGTACTGTCAGTACTCTAATTTTTTTTTTCTTTTTAAACCATAAAGTTTTGTTTGCGTGAATTCCAGCATCTTTTCTTACATTTACTGGCTTTTCAGTTTGATTTTTGGTGAAATGCCTTCTAATAGTCTGCCTTTATACACTGATGTTATGAATTCCTGATATAGTTAGTCCTTTGAAGAATACGGGCAGGTCTTCTCACATTTTGCTGGCTCTTTTTCACTTTCTTTGAGCCTGACTAATTTTGGCAGAATACTTTTTCTTAAGTGTTGGCATTTTGCTTTATACATTTATATTTTAATTCATTGGGAATTTTATCAGTGAACAATTGTCACAATAATGATTTTTAAAAAACAGTGTGATACTTTCAGTAACATAATGTTTATTTTTTGTGCATCTTCAAGCTGATCTCAGCTGGCCTTGGCAGGATTGGCTCTGCCTCCTGTAGCAGGTCTGCTTGGCAGTCCTGCCCACCTTGGTCTGACTCTCTCTGACTTCTCATGGGGATTAGCAGAATCTCTAGAAGGCAAAGCCACGTTGCCATCACTTTTTAACCACTCATCAGCCAAAGTTAGCCACGTGGACAGGCCCTTTGTACTTGAGATGTGGGAAGAGCTATTAAATGGGAAAAGGAAGAAGTGAGGCGACTTGATTTCTTTTCTTCTTAATGGTATGAGATAGGGACTTCATTCTGCTCTTTTTTGTTCTCCTTTTCCCCCTGTACCAATAACCAATCTCCCAAGTATCATTTAATTAAAAAAGAATGTTTGCCCCACTAATTTGTAATCCGCCTCTGGTGTGTATCATCTGTTTCTCTAATATTAAACTACCCTAATTACTGTAATAACACTTATGTGACTGTGTTTATCTTTCTTTCTTTCAGTCCTGGGGATGGAACCCAGGGCCTCACTCATGTTAGGCAAATACTCTACCACTGAACTGTAGCCCCAGCCCATCAGTCATTTTGATTATAATTTTTTCCGATAGAAGTGAAGTGATATCTCATTGTAGTTGTAATTTGCATTTTCCTAATGACTGATGATGTTGAACGTCTTTTCATATGATTATTGCTGTTAGTCAATTCAGATCTTTACCCATGTTTTAACTGATATGTTTTCTTATGAAGTTCTTTATGTATGTTGGCTCTAGGTCCTGTATTAGATAATATGATTTGCAGATATTTTGTCCCAATTTGTATATAGCTTGTTGTGTTTTGTTAATGGTTAATGGTGTCTTTTGAAGCATAAAACTTTTCATTTTGATGTAGTACAGTTTATCAGTTTTTTTGTTTTGTGGATCATGCCTTTGCTGTTATATCTAAGAATTCTTTGCCTAACAAAAGGTCACAAGGTTTGGTCTTAAGTTTTTTCTAGAAGTTTTCTAGGGTTAACTCTTACATTTAATAAGTCTGATTGATTTTGAGTTAATTTGTGGGAATCATGTGTTAAGGGTCTAAATTAATCTTTTTAAATATAAGTACCTAATTGTCCCAGTACCATTTTTTAGAAAGACTACCCTTTTCCCATTGAGTTCCCTTGTACCTTTGTTAAAAATTAATTGACTATAAATGTGTGGGTTTATTTTTGGATTCTCATTTGTGTTCCATTGACCCGTGTGTCTGTCCTTACAGAGTGTCACATTGTCCTGATGGCAAGTTCTGAAATTAGGAGTTATAAGATGGTCACTGCGGCCTGCACCTTAAGTCCCAGCTGCTCAGGAGGCTGAGGAAGGAAGATGTCTTGTGCCTAGGAGCTTGAGACCAGACCAGGCTACATAGCAGAACTATGCTTCAATTTTTAAATTTAAATACAGAGTTTTGGGGTATTGTGGCTTATGTTTATGATTTTCTTTTCTTTTTTCTTTTTTTTATGGGGGGAGGAGGATACTGGCCAGTGAACTCAGGGGCACTCGACCACTGAGCCACATCTCCAGCCTTATTTTGTATTTTATTTAGAGACAGGGTCTCACTGAATTGCTTAGCGCCTCACTTTTGCTGAGGCTGGCTTTGAACTCACGATTCTCCTGCCTCAGCCTCCCAAGCTGCTGGGATTACAGATATGCACCACCATTCCCAGCTTCTTTTCTTCTTGATGTCTTTAGCAATTACAGTTATACCTACCTTTTTATGATCTTATATTGAATGCTTTCTGTTTTTCTTGGTCAGCTTGTCTGGAGATTTGACAGTTACATTATCCTCTATGCAGAGTCAACTTTGCATTGTTAATTCTATTTCATATTAATTTCCATTTTAACTAGTTTTCCTTAATTGAGTCATTCCTTTTACATTCTTTGACCTTATTTTGCCCCAAGATTACTTGCATTTCTTCTTTTCTAACCTACCTCTAACCCCACAAATCTCCCTTAAACACACCATGCCACTTACATCCCAAAAGTTGTGTTTCTTTCATTAAATATTTTTTCGTCAAGGTAACATAGATCATTTCAAAAGTCAAAAGTCCTGGTTGAGGGTGAGGCTCAGTGGTACAGGGCTTGCCTAAAATGCACAGGCCTTGGGTTTGATCCCAACACCACAAAACAAAACAAAACATCCCACAAGGGACTCAACAAAGGTCATCCTGGGTAAAACAACAGAACAGCAGTTTTTAGGATAATTTCTTAGGTGCTGAAAATCTTCCTACCAAGTTCAATGCTCATTCCTTATTTAAAAACAAAAAACCCCCAAACACTTAAAATAGAAACAGCTACTTTTTAGATTTGATTTTTATTGTAGTAAAATGCAGTGTTTACCATCTTAACCAGTTTTAGTTACACAGTTCCGTAGCGCTGAGTGTGCTTGTATTGTTTTCCATCACCACCCTCCATCTCCAGAACTGAAACTCTGTGCCTTCCCGTTCCGCTTGTCCCCAGACCCTGGAACTGCCATTCATCCTGTTTTCTGTATCTGCTTTCAACTACTGTAGGTTTCTCGTATAAGCAGCATCCTTATATGAGCGTTGATCCTTTCTGATTTATTTCACTTAATGTCCTCAAGGCTCGTTTGTACTGTAGCATATCAGAATTTCCTCTCTCCATGGCTGTGAACATATAATACCACATTGTACTCTCCATTCATCTGTGTGTGGATACCTGGGTCCCCTCTGGCTTAGCTATGGTAAATAACACTGCTGTGAACATGGCTGCACAGTTCTCTTTAAAAATCTTGCTCTCAGTTCTTCTGGGTGTACACCCTGCAGTGGTTACTGGATCATGTCATAATTCTGTGTCTAATTCTTGAGGAATGACCATATTGTTTTCCACAGTGACTGTACCATTTTACTTTACCACCAACAGTGCTGGACCCAGAGTTCTAATTTCTCTAATTCCTTACCAACTCTTAACTATTTTGTTTTAGTTGACATATAACTACAGTAGTCATCCTAATGTGTGAAATAGTGTGTCATTATGGTTTGAGTTGCATTTAGTGATATGAGCACTTTTTTTAAGGGTTTGTTGGCCATTGATATAATCTTTGGAGAAATGACTGTTAAGTCCTTTACCCATTTTTTAATTGTGTCATTGTGCTTTTGTTTTTGAGTTTTAAGCATTCTCGATGTACTCTGGGTAGTAATCACTTGTGAGATGTATGATTTACAGATATCTTCCGTTCTACAGGTTAATTTTTCACTCCATTGATAGTATCCTTAACACACAGAAGTTCTTAATTTTTAAGAATTCTAGTTTATATCTAGTTTTTCTTTTAGTGCCTGTGTCTTTGGTGTCACAGCCATGAAATTGCCAAACCTGGCCCTGCAAGGCATTTCCCATAGATTTTCTTGTAGTAGATCTGATGGTTTAGCTCTCATGTTCACATCTTTGGTCCATTTTGAGTGAGTTTGTATATATTATGTGAGATAACGGTCCTCATTCATTCTTTTGCATATGGGTGTCCAGTTTACCAGCGCCATCTGTTGAAAGATTTTCCCTTCCTCACTGAATGATCATAGCACCCTTGTCAAAATTACTTGCCCATGCATGTGAACGTTAATTTCTAAGTTCTTTGTTCCATTCCTTTGATATGTATGTCTGTTTTTATGCTGTCACAACACCGCTTTGATTGTTGTAGGTTTGTAGTAACTTTTGAAGTCAGGAAGTGTTAGCCCCCAACATTGCTCTTTTTCTAAGATTGTTTTGGTTGTTCTGGGTTGCTTAGTATTCCATATGACACTTAGGATGGATTTTTCTATTTTTTGCAGAAGTCATTGGGATTTTGATAGGGATTGCTTTGAATTCATAGAGTGCTATGGGTAGTGTTGACAGTTTAACAGTATCAGCTCCAGTCCAGGGGCTTTGATTTTTTTTTTTTTTAAGGAAAAATTAATTTTATGCAGTTTCAGTAAAATTGGGGAGAAACAGCTAGACTGCAGTACACTGTATAGAAGAAAAAGCCAGGTGATCATACAAATGTAAAATCAGTCAGTCTCCTGTTTCCTTGAAGTCTGTCCTCAACAGGAAGAAATAAAAGCAATTATCAGGGAAGGTTTTTAATTTCAAAAGGGATCTATTTCAAGTCCCTGCTTAGTTCATCCTTTGATCCCCAGGGAATTGGGGCTCCATGTCAGCTGGCTGCAGTCTGCTGTTGGATCACCACGCAGATTCTGTCAAGAAACTCGAACAAAAGGAGTCAGAGGCTATTTATGTTTCTGAGGTCTCAGTCCGTGGCTGACCCAAGGGGAGGCAGACATCATGGTAGAAGGCATGGCAGGGGAGAGCCAAACACGCTCGACAGCCAGGAAGCAGAGAGCTTGTTGACGCAGTTGTGAAGAGAAAGTGTGTGATTTCCTTTTCAGATTGTTAGTGTGTAGAAATACAATGATGTGTGTGTTTGTGTGTGTGTGGGGGTGTTAAGATAAGATCACTGGATGGATACTTTCTTAACATGATGAATCGTGTATTACTTTCATAAGAAAGTCAGCCTTCTCTTTAATGGGGAAACAGTGGAGGCATTTCCACTAGAAGAGTGTCTGTTACAGGGGGCTATCCGGTGTCTAAAACTTGAGTAGAGTTCCCTTCTGGAAACCTCTGCATTCAGTCCCACATATATACATTCATTCAGACATGTCCTTGATAAAGTAGTAAACAGTGTGGATATTATTTAACCTTGACCGTAAGGCCTGTTCAACGTGAGTGTAGCAAAATATGAAGATGTGGGAAGTACTTCTGCACAAAATGGCATTCTTCAGGAAAAGCCCTGTGCTGCTGTGTGGCAAGCAGAATTAGAGGCGGGGTTCTCTTCCTTGTTCCCTCCCTCCCTCCCTTCCTATGCTAGAGGTAGAACCATGCCTCATGCATGCTAGGCAAACTACCACTGAGCTGCACCCCCAGCCCTGTTTTATCATGAATACTAGTTTTACTTGCGGGGTATACTCTTTCTTTTTTTGTAACACATAGATGTATGCATAGCAGGCACTTTTCACAAGTGAGTGAACTTGTATCTTCAAGAAGGACAACTGAAAATATTTGTCATCAGTGATAATAAGTGAAACTTTTGAATTAAAATACAATTCCAGAGCTTCTGATGTGCTTCTGTGAGCTTGAAAGCTTCCCTAAACCTAAAGTCTTTTTGGTAAGATTGGCGATGTTAAAGAATGATGTTTTAAAAACACTATATAATAAAACATTTGGAAGATCTGGCTAACTTAGTAAACTAATATTTTCCCAATAAATAATGAATGAGGTTATAAATTATCTGTGGGTAAAAATCCATCCTATCTACAATACAGACTACTAGATTAATGTAATAGTACAAAAGATGATATGGTTTCAGATTCTACACTACAACTTGAAATGTGTTTCAGTTTGCCCTTTTTTGGGGGGTGTGTACTTTGATTGATCCCAGGAGCACTTTCCCCATATACTTTTTTTAAAAAAATATTTTTTTAGTTGTAGGTGGACACAATACCTTTATTTTTATGTGGTGCTGAGGCACGAACCAGTGCCTCACATGTTCCAGGTGAGCACTCTACCACTGATCCACAGCCCCATCCTGCCCCCATACACTTTTTATTTATGTTTTATTTTATTTTGAGACAAGATCTTACCAAGTTGCTGAGGCTGGCCTCAAGTTTGCGATCCTCCTGCTACAGCCTCCTGAGTTGCTGCTGGCGTACTCCATTTTGCTTTGGGGGCAGGGAGTATGTACCGGGGATTAAACTCAGGGGCACTTAATCACCAAGCCATACCCCCAGCCCTATTTTGTATTTGATTTAGAGACAGGGTCTCACTAAATTGCTCAGCACCTTTCTTTTGCTGAGCTGGCTTTGAACTCATGATTCTCCTGCCTCAGCCTCTGGGATTACAGGTGTGCCCCACTGTGCCCAGCTCCATTTGCTTTTAATATTCATTTGCTTGTTGCTTTATTTTAGTTTTCCTGAAAAACTTTTAGTTTGGCTTTTGTAGGCACATAAGTAGTTGAGTTTTCCTTTGTAGAATAAATACAAACTCTCCCAATGAGTGAATTTAAGCCCATTCACAATTATCCACCTGACCATTTGGCTTCTCTTGTCATTTATAGCTGTGTGTGACATTTGCATGTTCTTCCTCTCTAGAACATGTTTTCTTTGCTCTTCATTAAATTGTACTTCATTTCATTTTTGTTTTTTTCTCCTTTTTCTGCTTTTGTTCAATATTTCTTACTATGTTTTCATCCAAATCTTAACAGTTGTCATTTTTTTGATGATTTTGTTTAATCGTATATCATTTCTGAGATCAGTCAACTCTGACTTCATTATTTCCACTTCTGATCTTAGTTTTTTTTTTTTTTAATATACAAGTTTACGGTATGGTTTTAGTTTTTTAATTTTAATTCATTGTTTTCTTTGATTTACCCAAAAAAAGAGTATGTAAATCATTTGGATTTTTGTGTTATTTTTCCTCTGCTACATGATTTTTTTTTTTAATTGTTCAATTGTTTTGGTGTGGGAGATTGAATCCAGGGTGTTTAACCACATCCCCAGCCCTTTTTATTTTGAAACAAGAGTCTCAGTAAGCTGTTTAGGGCCTTGCTAAGTTGCTAAGCCTGGCCTTGAACTAGTGACCCTTCTGCCTCAGTCTCCCCAGTTGCTGGGATTACAGGCCTGTGCCATCGTGCCTGAGGCAAAGATGGGGCAGCTGAGTTCCTAATTTTCATGAGCTGATGTGCTTTGTTCTCTGTTTTCTCCTGCAGCTTGTATAAATGAAGAGTGCTCCTGCCTGTGCCTGTTGGACTGGTGATCTGGGGTAGTTTACAGGATTCCTCACGCAGAGCGCCCTCTGGTGTCATTGTGATGGTGTTCAGTTTCTTTAATGGGTGGCGCGGAGGACGGAATCTCAGGCACCAGTGGAGGGGTTGGTCTCCACAGGATGTCCCAGCTGTTGGCACAGCAGAGGAGCATGCGTAGCAAACATGGTAACTGGTGGGCGACTGTTGTGACTCACCGCAGAAGTCTTCTAATGGAGATGTCTCAATACAGTGGGAAGCAAAGTTAGTCTATCTGAGGATGGGTAAAGAATTGCAGGAGGTTTGAGGATAAAAAATTGTTAGGAACACATTGAGATAACACAAAAATAGTTCTCTGTGTCACCAAATACTTTGCAATGTACACTTAATGACCATTCAGTTCCATTTTAAATAAAGTATGATTTTATGATTTTTTAAACCAGTTTCTTGTTGACATTTGTTTCCAGCTTCTTACTATTTTAAATAAAGTAGAGTGATGTTTGCTGTACAATTCCTAAACTTGGTATTAATTTCTCTGTTAAAATGTAATATTTATTGTTGGTTAGCTTTTCATCACTGTGACAAAATACCCAAGGCAATCAACTTAAAAGGAGGAAAGGTTGAGTTTGGCTCACAGCTAGCAGCTCAGAGTCAGGGCGTGGTCAGTTGGCCTAGTCACTCTTGGACCTGTGGCAAGGCAGCATGTGGTGGGAGCACATGGCAGAGGAGACTATTGCCTTGGGGCAGCTGGGACGTGAAAAAGAAAGATGAGGAGCTGGAGTCCCAGTAGCCCCTTGAAGGACACATTTTCATGTAACCCAAGGCTACAGACTAGTCCCCACCTCTAAAGGGCTTTGCCACCTCCCAGCAACACCACCAGCTAGATAGTCCTGCTGATTATTATTAGATAAATACCATAAAACTGAAGCTGTCATCATCACACTGTCCTACTGCTGGTAAAAATAACATCATCGCTAACTTGTTGTACCTACAGAGGACACCAAAGCTAGTGACACCTCTTAGCAAATCCTATATGAGTCAAAGTTATTTTGGTTGTAATTCCACCCTGCAAAAAGCAAGAAGGGGAATTGCACATGCTCTAAGCAAAGTTTTACCTAAGAAAGGAGGAACTGAGGATGGATCCAGGGCCCTCAGAAGCAGGAGACTGACTGAGCTGAGCCACCCCTCTGTGCCCTGTTGGTGCCTGCCAGGTTGCGCCGCCCACTCTCCAGCTGTGACTAGGGAGGAGAGCAAGATGGTTTCCAGAGACCTCTAGAGGTTGAGCTGGCGCTTGAAAGGGCCATCATAAGAGCCTTTGATGAAGTGGTGAAGTCATGCAAAGGAATGGTGGTGTTACCCATAGAATGGTCCTCTGTCCCTTCTCTAGAGAGTACGTCAAGCGTAAAGAATTCAGGGCCTGTCAGCTCACATTTGCAGCAGGCATTCTGTAAGCTGGCTTGACCAGCATAAGCCATAAGCTGAGTTTAAGGCACACCTACCATGCGTCAGGTGGTGTGCTGTTATTTTATTTTATACTGTTTACCTTTCTTCTGTAAGCTGCATAACAACCTTGTAAGGTGGATAATGGGATCAGTTGCATAGAAAGGAAATAAATAGGAACATCTACTTTATAATTTTTTTTTTTTAATTTTCATGGGCCCTATAAATAATTGTAATTAATCATATAATAATTAGCAATTTAATTCCTGTTATTTGGTGAAGTTTAATACTTATGAAGTATGGATGTTGATGTATGTATATGTTTGTATAAACATATAAATATGTACATAAGCTTACATATAAACTGTGTGTGTAAAGAAAGTTTATAAACCTCATGTTCCAGAGGGTTGTATTGAAGAGACAAATATACCTGCATCCTTGAAGTCTCTTAGCTTGTGTTAAAATGAGCTAGGGGAGAGCCCTGCTCACCCCACTGGGCTGTGGTTCTCAGGTGGGTTGGTGCAGCACCTTAAGCTGATCGCCTCCCTCTATTTTCCATGCTGCAGGTTCACCCTGATTTCCTCAGAGCAAACTTCCCCATGTTCTGTGTCAGTCATGCCTGCCCTGGGATTTTTTGGTTTTTTAGTTGTAGGTAGACACAATACCTTTATTTACTTTTATGTGGTTCTGAGGATCAAACCCAGTGCCTCACACATGTGAGGCAAGCGCTCTACCACTGAGCCTCAGCCCCAACCCCATGCCTGGTTTTCAAAGTACTCTAGTTTGGCCATAGCAGCCATGATAATGAGACAATCCGAGAATTTGCAGCCCAAAATATGTATGTATCTGTATTAGTCTGTTTGCTCTCTAATACCTGAAGCTGTGTACTTCATTTTTTAAAAGAGGTTTAGACCCTTATCTCTCACCCTCCAACTCAAAATGGACAAAGACCCAGGAATTAAACCAGAAACTGTGCAACTTGTAGAGGAAATATAGAGTCAACACTCAGGCAACAATTTCTCAATAGGACCCCTTAAAGCTCAGGAAATAATGCCAAGAGTTAATAAGTGGGATAGCATCAAATTTAAAAGCCTCTGCAAAACAAAGGAAACAAGAATGTGAAGAGAGAACCTAAAGAATGGGAGAAAAATCTTTGCTAGCTGTTCTTTGAACAGAGGATTAACATCTAGAATACATAAAGAACTCAAAAAACAATGGGCAAAATAAGAAAAACACAATTCTCAAAAGAAGAAATACAAATAGCCAACAAATACTTGAAAATTTGTTCAACATCATTATCAATTAGGGAAACGCCAATCAAATCTATGCTGAGATTTCATCTTATTCCAGTCAGGATGGCAATCATTAAGAATATAAAATAAATGCTGGAAAGAATATAGAGAAAAAGGAGCACTTTTACACAGATGGTGGAATTGTGAATTAGTACAACCACTATGGTAATCAGTATGGAGGGTCCTCAAAAGACTAAGTGTGGAACCACCACGGATCCAGCTGTCCCACTCCGTAGTGTTTATCCTAAAGAACTCAAGTCATGATACTATGATGATACATGCATACCTGTGTTCATAGCAGCACAACTCACTGTAACTAAACTCAGCAAACAGCCTAGGTGTCCACCAACAGATAAATGGATAAAGAAAACGTGGTATATAGACACAGTTGAGTTTTATTCAGTCATAAAGAGTGAAATTAAATTATTTACAGGAAAATGGAACTTGAGAATTTTGTTAAGCCAAACTCACAAGGTCAAGGATTGTATGTTTTTTCTCATATGGAAGCTAGAGAGGAAAAAGAAAGATGGCAGAGGTGGGGACATCTCATGAAGGCAGGGAGGTCAGTAGAGTAAAAGGACGGAGGAAAGGGAAAGAGGAAATACTGGGAATTATGTTGTTATATTGTGTGCATGTACAAATATGTAACAAATTTCACCATTATCGGCAACTATAATGTACCAATAAAAATATGGAGAAAAACTTTCGAAAAATAAGAGATTGGTTTAGCTCACAGTTTTGGAAGCTGCTAAAAAGTTCATTTGTTTGGCCTGTGATGAGGACCCCTGTGGGCCACACATGGCGGGAAAGCAGAAAGCTGCGTGTAGAAAATCCAAGTGTGTCGTGTGGGTGTCCTTGCTTTGTAACAGCCCTCTCTTGACACAACTAACCCTACAAGACAAGGCAGTGCTCCTGACCTATGACCTCACATGAGACCTCACCTCTCCAAGCTTTCCCCACCACACAGGAAAACACCGTCCAGACCTCAGCCCCCAAAGTGCCTCTTATGTGAAACCAAGGCTGACAGAACTGAAAGGAGAAACTGACAAATTCACAGGTACAGCTACAACTTGAACACACCTCTCCCTACAGAGCAGTAGAGCAGGGTACAGAACTGGACAACACTGTTGTTCTGGTCTATTTGACACATATTGGGCCCCTCACAAACAAGTGGAGTTCGTATTCTTTCCAAGTACTGGTGGATCAGTCACCAAGATAAACCATTCCTAGTTTATAAAACCTTATTAATCCAAAGGCCCAACATATTGTAAAGAATTAGAAAACATTTGGAAACATGAAAATAGAACAATCCCCTCTCGGACTAGATCCAAAGGACTTAAAAACAGCATACTACAGGGACACAGCCACATCAGTGTTTCTAGCAGCATAATTCACAATAGCTAAACTGTGGAGCCAACCTAGATGTCCTTCAGTGGATGAATGAATTAAAAAAAAGTGGCATAAATACACCATGGAATTTTACTCAGCATTAAAAGAAAATAAAATCATGGCATTTGCAGGCAAATGGATGGCGTTGGAGAAGATAATGCTAAGTGAAGTTAGCCAATCCCAAAAAATCAAATGCTGAATGTTTTCTCTGATATAAGGAGGTTGACTCAGTGGGGTAGGGAGGGGGAGCATGGGAGGATTAGATGAATTCTAGATAGGGGAGAGGGGTGGGAGGGAAAGGGATGGGGCAGGGGGTTAGCAAGGATGGTGGAATGAGATGGACATCATTATCCAAAGTACATGTATGAAGACATGAATTGGCATGAACATACTCTTATATACAAAGATATGAAAAATTGTACTCTATATGTGTAATAAGAATTATAATGCATTCTGCTGTCGTGTATTTAAAAAAACAAAATCAATAAAACTGAAAAAAAAACGAAAAGAAAATAGAACAATCAAAATTTGTAGGACGTAGCTAAAGCAGTGTTTAAAGGAAAATTTGTAGCACTAAATTCCCTGCCCACTCACCCACCCACCACCTGGGTACTCAGATTGAACCCAGGGGTGCTCTACCACTGAGCTACATCCCCAGTCATTTATTAATGTTTTGAGACAGGGTCTTGCCAAGTTTCTGAGGCTGGCCTTGAATTTGTGATCCTTCTGCCTCGGTGGCTGGATTGACAGTAGTGCACCACCAGACTTTTGTTTTTGATGACTGCCAGTTTTGAGAGGTCCTTTTGGTGTTGTGCAGAAAGACCCTCACTTGGCATTGGCTGGTCTTTTGCTCATGGTGAGCTTGGGACTGTGATCTTGGGAGAAGACGATAGAGGTGAAGCAGCACTTTCATCACATTATATCGGAGGAGATTCTATCTGCACACATGGTGTGTTTAGACTATTCACATTTATTTAGTCTAATTATCAATATGGCAGGGCTTAAATTTGCTATTTTATTGTTTTCTGTTTGTACTTTGTGTTTTTCCCATTTTCTTTTTCTGCCTTTCTATGGGTTACTTGAGCATTTTTTTTTTTTTTAGAATTTCACTTTGATTTATATATAGTGCTTTTGAGTGTATCACTGCATGGATTTTCCTGGTGGTTGCAACAACCACATATAAAATGTGTACGTCTAGAGCAATCCAAATACATCTATGTCATTCTGTTTGTTTTCTGAGCTATGTCCCTTTGTTCCTCTCTTCTTCCATTGATGCTTTCTTTTGTGTTCAATATTTTCTACACTATCATTTTAATTC